AATGTTTTATTCTTAATTACAGAGGCGGCCATATCTGTGCCACTTCTGCGTGCGCGGATTCCGGCAGCCACTTCTGGTAGGCTGACAACAGAACTAAAATTAAAACATTCCAGCGTTAATCGCGAAACTATATGCAATATTAGCTATATAAATATATATAATATATATATGAAATTATTATCATAATGTTGTAAATATATAATAATATTGTTATATACTATATTTATTATATATATATATATATATATATATATATATATATTATAAATATATAATATCCACAGACTTTTATACTAGACTACTAACATCAATGGACGCACAGTCGAAAAGCTGATGCGAGTGCGAGGTGCAAGTGGTAGTGAAGGGTGCGGCCATATTGAATTGAGTCACTATCGGGTGTTCAATTGCTCATGATGTGCGTTTATCTGCGTTTCGTTATTACAGTACATAACGAAGCAGGCGAATGTTTTTGTGTTAAATATTGGTATATGTTATCAATAAGTTTGTAATTCATGCCTTCGACATGTAGCGTACTTGGATGCTGAAATCGAACCACTACTACTGTAGTATTAAACCCTTTCTTTTGGACATTCTGTATATACTAGACTATTGTATAGAAATCTTGTATAGAACCACTTGTATAAAATCTGTAGTATAGCATATCTTGACTAAAATCAATATGGCGGCAAGCATATCATGGCTGAGATGTCTGTTAGCGGTCTAGTATTGCATAGAAGTCTATGATAATATCTAAATATTATTTTATAAGTTCAAATCTCACATTTTTTATCCGAACCCCAGATTTCTACCAGTTTGTCTTTGGACACGACTCCCTGCGACTGCAGCGTTTGTACTATTGCTTGAGTGCGTGGTATCAACCTGAAAAAATCGTATTGAATTGACGTAATCTATTCGATGAATCAACGTGAAATCGAAAGGAGATAGAATAACGATTTACCTGGCCCATGACTTGGTGATACTCCCAGGTGTCGTCAGCAGCGACGGGACAAATCGTTTCAGCTTAGGGTACACTTGACCCTCCAAGAAGAAATACGCGAACCACTTGACACCGTCCACCGTCAACGGATGCTCTATATCCATCGATGGTAGTGCCCATCCGGCCTTTCCAAATGTACCAGACACGCGGCAGATGATCTTCCCGGTTCCTTGATTATATCTATAAATGAGAATAATATTCGATCATAATGAAGATTAATATATTTATAAATAAGTAGGAAAAACATTATAAAGCAAGAATTGTGATAAAAATACCTTGGCGGTGGATCAACCAATGGTTCACTAAGATGGCATAGCATGGGAGCGAATTTCGGCAACCATTCGGGTTCTATCGCCGTGACACCTCGCATGTACATCTTTCCATTCGTTTCGTACACCTCTTGATAAACCACCCATTCCGGACTGATTTTCCGTAGAACGCACGAAGAATGCATGAATACAGGTTCCTCCATTTCTGGTGTTCTGAAAGATGGTTCGGAATGGAGAGGTCGCATTCAATAGGTCTTAATTATCGATTATAATTAATAACACACCTGTAAGCGTGTTTCCACTTGGCCTTATCCTGATCCTCTTTTACCTCGTCGGGCGAAACCTTTCTCGCGACTTGATTCACCATACCTGCAAGGACTATCTGGCGCAGCAATTTCGCTTCCATGTCGGTTGGTAACGGCATTCTGTAACAATTCTTGTTGTAGATAACCGTCTCAAACATATTGCAACGTGCATACAGTCAAATTCCAGTATTCTGATCTAATCGAGATCGAGCATTCCCTTTATTCCGAAAGATTACTGAACTCTATACAGTTCAGGGATTTATCTTTTAGAATGGTCCGAATAAAGGCAT